ATGACCTGTAGAGATAGACCCCATGGGTTGGTCTGAATAGGATATAAGACAACTGGGTGTTCAACCACTGTGGTCATTCAGACAGGTATAACTGCACCTTCTTTCAAATACAGGGTAAGAGCATCATTTGCTTGCACCTTATTCATTATTGCCACTTGGTGGCCCTGAGGAACACCCTTGACCCCAAGCTGCTTCAGTGGAGCTGTTAAGTGTTGATAGATCAAACTGTGGTTGCATTGGACTCTAACTGTGAGTATCAACAGAATCTTCCTGACAAAGAAGGCAATGCAATCAGATAAGCTGTCACGGTTAAATAATGCTTTCTGTCTTCAACTTCACCCTGTAAAACCAAACGGTTGGCTGGCGTAATCATAAAGTAAACACTGCATTCAGTGAATTTTCTGAATGAATGTCAGCGGAAGAATCATTGGATACTGTTCTGTTCAATTTTCCTTTCTTCTTATCACTGTGTAATTGTTTGCACAACAGACAAACTCTTACCAAACCCATTTCCTGTCTGTCTTCACACCTTGTGTTTTGGGTTTCACATGTGCGTCTCGATAATATTTCCTTTTGATGAGATTTCTCCTATTCTCCTATGAGAAAGACAGTGAGTTAAAATGAGCTTGCAGTTCACTATATCCCATTGCACTGTGTCAGAAAGATCCCCTTAATCCCTACAACATAACCTTCCTCTCAGCATGCTCAAAACACTCTGGAACAGAAAGAAAAAAAAATGTTTTCCATATCATTAGAATCGATCTCGACCTCTGTCCAACCAATGAGCAGAAAGCTGTACAGTCTGTCTGAATGCAAAATTTATGTCTTATCTTGGAAAAAGTAGCTCAGAGGTTTCAGCCTCCTCCCTGGCCTTATCATCAAAAACACAAGTTCCAGCAGCGTGCAGGGGTAAGCGGTGCAGAAATTCACAAATACCGTTGACTCTGACTGATTTGGCAAATAAAATAGGTATAACCAGAAATGTACTGTTGTACTGCAAAATGTAGAATAAGACGTTGATGAGCTGTAGAGCACGGCAAACGTATAAAGTGACTGTATGGTCTGTGTTTGTCAGTATGCCCAGTGGGCCATGACACCATCAGTCACCCCAACTACCAGTCCAATCTTTGGGTGTAGAACAGAACCAACTGCTCATAACTGTGAGACCATTTCAGCTACAGCTCCGAACATCACAACCAACAGACTGAAACAGAGGTTTTACTTCAGCACTCTCCAGCCTGCATCATCGTGTACTCCCCATCCACAAGCCACTGCTTCCTGCTGAGCTGCATATCTGCATACTGCAGACAACTGCTTATTAGATAATGCTAAACTGGCACACACAAGCATGAGGTCTGCTAAACGCTGTGATGATGGCTGACTTCATGCAGTTTGTGATGAGAGGTTTTCCACAATATTCTGTTTTCTCCATTCTTCTAACAGCAGAGAGATGAACCACTTGGAACTGTTATTCACTATTGCAACAATATGAATGCTGAACTCATTCAGCTTGATAGCTATTGCACTGACACATATAAGGTGACACAACATGTGTTTGGAACTGTAAGTATTTCATTGACACATATCGCATTTAAAAATGAAAAGAGAGCAACATTATTCAAATGGTTCAGATCAAAACAGATGCTCCGTTATACGTTCTGCTCCCGTGGTCAGTATAACATCAACCAAAAATATGCTGTTTTCAATATTCAGGCAGTTCACATCATTGCATATCTCTGTATTTTTGGCAATGACGATTGTGTTACCGGGATCATAAACACTGTCCAGAAGAGACTACAGTTTTGTTTCCTCCTGAATTAGTCCAAAGTAATAATTAATTTAGTACTAGTATGTGGTGGAACATTTACTCAACTACTTTGCAAAGTACAGTATTGAGGAAGTTGTGCTCATGCTAATTTACTATTGTACATTACTTTATGCTTCCAGTCCACCCCAGTTCAGAAGAAAACACTTTCCTGGTTACTTTTCAGGTTAGTGTTTTAGCTTCGATAAGCTAGATTAAAAGCCTATAAAACAGAATGCTTTGCCAGACATTAAATCAGAGGTTCCCAGCATTTGTGGTGTGTGGCCTCTAACAAGAAAGAAGGCTTGGACCTCGTCAAAGTTCAGATTGTTTCATTGAAGTGACCTGTTCATAGTCCACAGATGTACACTGATCACACACAAAAAGTACAGATTTTTTAAAAAAAAAATCATCTTCCTTCTTCTTTTCAATCCTATTAATCATCTCATAATCACCCATTTTTTCTTGTAACCCCTGGGAACCACTGGCCTGAACTATATCTGTGTTCTTATTTGATGTAATTTTTATTTTTATTTTTTTAAAATTATTTCTTTGGTCAACATTTGTTGTTTTTAAAATCTGGTACATGAATCCATCAGTGTTAACAATATAATCATGCAATATATAATAATGATGATTCACTTAACTCTTCTTTTGGTTACTTAGGGTATGTCTAGTTGATTCCTAACTGTTCATTTAGCAGAATTTTTAACACAGGACTTTAACGAATTAAAGGGTGTCCTAACTTGTTGTAAAGACTGAATGCCTCTCGTGTCAGTGTCAGTGGCTGTGGACTTGACTGTTTTATGAAGAGCCCTGTTTGTTTGTTTTGCGACTGTAAGATTATTAAATGAATAGCTTTGGATCTGTTTATCTTACATTCCAATCATACGTTAAGGCCCTCCAACATAATCTGATATTTGATGTTTTTGATGAAAAATGTGATATATTCTTTTACTGTTCATAAACGTTTGATCTGTTTACTGAAGTGACAACATTTTTCTGCTTCATGAAATGTTTTAAGACCAAGATTTTTCTGTTTCAGCATGTCAGCACAGGATAGTTTTTAGCAGTGACATCATTGTGCATATGGATGCTTTCCTGTTGCTAAAAATAGAAAGTGGCCTCTCTAGTTATTAAAGTATCTCACAAAATATGAAAAAACAGACAGCCGAGTAGCAATGAAAACACATTTTATTGTTTTATTGTAAGCTTTACTAGTTAGATAAGTTATCTTTGGACTATGGACAGAATGTTTCTCTCAACAACACAGACACTGTTTTGGCCTGATTATTATTTGTTTGAGGTTTTTTGTCATGGCACTTGATGGGTCACTTTTTTCTCTTCACAAGCACCTGCATTTCTTCTCCTGGACTATATAAAAGGTCACTCAGCCAAAGTGCTAAAGAGGCAAAGGTTTGAAAATGTGAAAGATGAGACACAAAATAGCAGATTAAAATCAAAGTTTAGATTTATAAACTCAAAAACAGTACAGGCAAGTTAAATAAGTGCAAACTTTCAAGAAAAATTAAAGCGATTGACTAAAACAACAGAAAAAGACAAAAGATAAGAAAAATAAAACCTTGAAAAACTCTCTCACTCAGGTCTCCCTCTTGCTTACTACGCTCGACCAACAAAAACCACCTGATACAACCACCACAACGGGGCCGGAAGTGGATAGCTAGACTCTTCTCTGTCATTCTCCGGTGTTGGGACGAGCTACCTGTTCAATCTGCAGAGTCCCTCTCAGTCTTTAAGAAAAGACTAAAGACCCAGCTCTTCACTGAACACCTCTGCACTTGACAGGCATAGAAAAAAGGAGAAAAAAAACAAACAAACAAACAACATCAACAAAAACATTTCCGATTATCTCCCACACTGCCTGTAGCCACCAGTGTCCTATCACACATGAACTTGTTCTATGGCATTTATCCAGGTTGCTTTGTCCAGACTAGATCCTCGCTTGTGTTGCATTTACTCTCAAATATATGTCGCTTCAGATGAAAGTGTCTCCCAAAATGAAACTGTAGAATTGTAAAAGTTTGGGCACTATAGTAACTGACCACTGCTACCAGGCTTGTATACAGAAATTATATTGGTAAACGTTTGGGTCTAGATCATTCAGAGACTTATAGACAGTAAGAAAGAAATTAAATGAATTTAACTGGATGCCAGTGTAGGGATCTAAGAATCAAAGTAATGTGACCTCTCCTCTTGGTGTTAGTCAGTATTCTAGCATTTTGAATGCCTCGCAAATGTCAAATGAATAATTTGCTATATATAAAATATT